TGGTTAATTACTGGAAGATGGTGGTTCCAGCCAAAAGGCTATACTTTTGTTTTTGAAACAACCATTTAAAACCTCTGAAATCAGGATGCAGTCTACATGTAAAGTCTTAGATTTGATGAACTATGTTAGTTTGGATTCTGTGCTTCTTTGGCGATGCTTATTGGAGCTTTTCGCTCAGGGTACAGAGCTGCATGTTGCCTTGAACTTCACCTTTCTGTCTCCTACCCCTTCTTTGGGTTATTGAGTTTCTGCTACATTTAAGGAAGGGACAAGGGTAAAATAAAGTTCCTTAGCAACCTGCTCTAGAGAAACTACTTGTGCGTACATAGGACAGTTAGCATGAGGTGTTTTGTTCTTTGTTGACTCACCCAGCCAGGTGATTGCTTTGGAAGACCAGGCACCATGTGAGTCATTCAGTGTCCCCATGGACCCAATTGGGAAATAACCAGTCAAAGGTCAGTGGCAGGGTTAGAGATCCAGGCTGAAATTCCTTTCTGGCAGAGAGTAAGAGAGCTTTCACAGTGTTTGCAACACAGTTTATCCTCCCTTCCTCTAAGCACCATATACTCTGATTTGGCCTGTCCTGAAGTCTGCTGACCTCACTAGGGTGGTCTGTCCCTGCATTCTGATATCCTGTCTCATTGGACAACTCGTCGTCAAAATAGCCCTCACTGACGCATTCTGACTTCCACTGGTTCCATTCCCTTCCTCGGTTCCCTTACTTCCTCTTCCATGTCTCTCCCATTGTCTCTCTCTGGTTCTGTGAATCAGGTTGATGTGCCAAACCATAGCCTTCTACTCCTACTTTCCAAGCAAACTTCTTGACTGGCCTTGTCTCATTGGCCTTCTCTTCTTGGTCATCTTTCCTAAATTGGATTTTTTTGAGCACTAATATTTATAGCTCCATTTGGAAGCCAAATTTGACAATTGATCATTTTATTCTAGCTATTCTCTAGCTTCATGCTCCCAATACCTCTCTGTTCAAGCCATACTTAGCTTCACGTCAGGAATGGCCACTTCAAGGGACAGAATTTTTTTACATACCCTAAGCAGCTTGAGACTCATGATAAAAACAGCAATAACAAAAACAATTGCAACTAAAGCAGAGGCAGTATTTATTGAGTACTTTCTGTGCTCAGAATTTTACAAGTATAGGTCCATTGAATCCGTGCAATCAACTTGTGAGGACCAGGTCCACCTTGTTACCCTGCTGTGACTAAACTGTCAGGGGAAAGGGATATTAGGAGTCATTCATTCTTTCCAATGACATTCTGGTGAAGACCTCCATTTCTCCAGTAAGACCGAGTCTGGGCCCCAGAGTCTGAGCAGGAACAGAGGCCTTATGAAAAACTGGAGATAAAGGCCAAAACTCCTCCCACATGTTCTAGAGGGAGGGCTGGCCTCAGAGCAGCAGCTCTTTGAATCAGCATGGGCCCAGGGCAGAGACTTGTGATGAGTCAGTCACTTTCAACCACTGTATTCTGGGGAACTTGCCCTGATGGCAGGACTTGGTTGGGGCGACCCTGGATGGGTGAGTGGGGGAGATCATTGGTTCTCACGAAATTAGCCTGTGAGTCATTGAAAAAGGAATAAGGGGAACTGGGTAACCATGACTGTCCAGGGACGATGTCCTGAAGAACAGATCCCTGCAGATCATCTCATTTTCTGGGGTCAGGGACTGCCTGTTCACTGGCCAACGCCTGCTGTTATTTATTTTGCATCTGGCATGGCTTCTATGTGGCTACAAGTCAAGGATTTTTAGAGACATGTTATTTTTGAAAATGAATGGATGGATACATGGATAGACTGGGAAACCTTTTCAAAAATAAATTGACAGTGCCCACATCTCCCATGGTCCTCTTTTCTCTTCTACCTCTTCCCCTGCAGTCTCCTTGCACTTCACCTCTTTGTAGTGAAAAGTGATGGGATTTATGTCCAGAATTTACCACCCTCCCTGGGTGCCAGTTCCCAAGGAAACTTCAAAGAGAGAGAGAGAGAGAGAGAGCGAGCACGAGCGAGCTATCTAACATAGTTCAGGCTATACTTCTCCCAGAGCTCTTCTGAATGGGCAGTAAAGAGGGGCTCTGTCTACCTTTGCCTGGAGAGAGAGCAACTGTAAGGCTAAGAGATGGTTTGACAGCCCTGGTGAGGAGATGCCTTGGGTTGTATAGTTGATTTTGAATGTTCAAGTGTTCCAAATTTGGAAACTTCGGGAAAACAGACTCCCTTTCTGTAATGCATGGGTGAGGGCTCTCCCACCTCAGAGGTGACCTTGATGCTTTAGTGTCAGGCCTGTCACCAATGCCATAATTCCTCCTCCACTGTTCTCACACTTGCATGCTAAAGCTGTAGTCAAGTCAGAGGGCAGAGCCCTACAGGTTATTCATGGGCATTTAGTGGCATCAGACTTACAGAATTTTAGAGCTGGGAAACGTCTTTGAAGCTAGATAGACTCTAGGCTCTGAGGAAACCTGGGGCTTCCACAATCTAGTGTTTTTAAGAAAATAAGGAAACTTTAAATTGTCTGAGGAACTGTTGTAATCTATTTGCATGTTTTATTTGATTAATTATTACTTAAAAATATTTCTTCTATGAGAAGGAGAGAGACAGAGAGCAAGAGAGCAAGAGAGAGACTCTCAACAGGGTCTGCAATCCCCCCTCCCCCCTCCTCCCTCCCCCCAGCCTCAGCAGGCCCAGATCCCACATGTGGATGGCATGCTTAGGGAGGGTGCGAACCCAGGAACTTTCCTGTGTGGGTTTAGCTGCCCACTGTCAACACCTGGCCCCTACATGTTCTATATTGGAAATCTATACATAGTTCTGAGAAGTGAATTCAGTTTCTTTAAAAACAAAACAAAATCTGATCTGGTCCAGTACCTCTCAATGGATTCCAGTACATATTTACTGATCATCTCTTTTGAACAAGAATCGGACCTGGGCTGGACAGGGCAGAGCAGACCTCAAGGTACTTAAAATCTGTTAGGTAGCAGTTTCAAGGCAGATACAGACATAATTATAATATGGTAGGAGTACGAGAATTGAAGAAACTGATACTGAGAGGAGTTAAATGATTCATTCAAGGTCACGCTACTAGCAGTGACTCAGTGAGGATCACAGCCTACTGACTGTGTGTACCTTTCCTGTTAGTCCCCTCTACCCCCTAGGGAGGCCCTGAAACAGATACTGTTAAAATGTAAATTTTTTTGTTTTTTGAGTTTCTCGCCATAGGGTGTGTGTGCTTGCCAGAGACAGAGAGAGCGAAAGTGAGAAATCCCCCAGGGAGGATGGCCACTCTGCAGTCCTGTCTCTTCCATTCTCCTCTTGAGGTTTTGGGCATGCACACACATGCACCTGGTGCGATTTTTTAAGCTGCTGGGTCCAGGACTCTAACCATGGTAGGCCATGTGAGAATCCAGTGCCTTAACCACTACACCATCTACTGGCCCCAAAGCTTAATTTTTAAAGAGTTGAAAATATAATTCCCATATAAATACAAAATGAACACATATTTAAAAAAAAGTTTAACTTAATTTCTGAGGGAGCTACTAAGATGTCAGGACTATTTCAAAAGTGAATACAAAGAAGGGGAGATTTATAGTGGGTCATTGGGAAAATAGCCAATGGTCAGGATGATTTCTCTAAATATAGATTTGCTGATTTTACCAGCTGGGAGCAAAGGGGTCCATTTAGAAAATTAGATAAAGGGACTGTCAGTATTACTGGGTCATATGGAAGAATGGTTCTTTCTCATTCAGCTCCTTGTATTGGGAAAACATTTCCTTGGGGGCACTACAGGTAGAGGGATTTACCTGGCTGAGGCA